ATCACATCTGTGCTCTTTGGTAGGATCAGTCATGGTAAGTTGATGGCATTCCAAATCAGTGCAAAATTCTTTAATCAGATGGGCAAATTCTCAGTTTGGAAAGCTGTCATACTCCCAAGTTTGCTTTATTCTCATTTCAGAATTCTGGGCCCTCTTCTCACATAGTCTTCTTTTTTTCCCCCATTTCCTTCACAATGCATGATTTCCTTCCAACTGAGTTCACAGGGTTTTCAGAAGTGGGCCCTTGATGGAATGAATTTGCTCTTCCATCTCCTTACTGATCATCATTGGTGCAGGACAGCGGGACTAGGGTGGTCAGTGGAAACTGAAAGCTGCTCACAGGAGTTTGTAGACATGAGCAGCTTCCATATCATTCTCCTGAGTGGCGATGAGGACCACTGCGAAGGTGGACATGCCAGTGGAACCACCATAAAGAGTTTCTTTGGGAGCAAGACTTTTGGAGTTGATTGATCTACATTTTTGTTTCTGAACCATCACATTCTCCTTCAGGGACAGATTGTCCTCCAGTTATAAGGGAAGAAGTTACAAGACCTCTGGGTGTATTGCTGCCACATCATCAAAATCAATCTCTGTGCCCTTTGTGGCATCTCCATTCCACTGAAACACAGGACTTCTCCATGTTCATAGTCCTTACGTTGGCACTGTGAATTAAACCATGACTTCATTGGATCTTGATGGTGAGACTGGGGAACAGTTGATTTTGAAGAGTTGAGTCCACGGACAGTCACAGACATGCTAAGAACTAACAACCACCTCTTCTAACCCCACAAGTCTAGTTTCTGAATTTTTAATAACAGCTTTCTAAATTTTTTGTCAACTTTTGCCATCTTCAGTAATTAGCCTTCAAGTGATGTTTATAACTTCTGAAGTTATTAACACTTTAAAACTACACTAAGATTCCAGGACCCCCTGTTATTTTAAAGGTGAATACGTTTGGCTTCAAAACCTAGGTAACATTTGACAGTAAAGTAGAGACACCTAGGGTAAAAAGCTCTGAGGACAGAAGTTGTCCACAGTGAAGTCTCAGCTTCGTTCAACAACAGTGCCCGGAAGCGGAACCCATGTGGAGCAGTGGCTGTCTCTGGGGGCACATGTGATCTCTGCCCCTTCACATATCTTCATTGAGCATGTCCTACTTCTTAAGAAAGCATCATTTCCATTTTATTTCCTTTCAGGTTAGTTTTTCTTCAGCCTTTAAGGACTCAAATCCTTACGTGGGCTTTGGTGGGGGCTGTGGGGCAGCACCTGCAGGTCTAAATCAGAATGGGGGTTTCTGTCCTTCCAGGCTTCATGAGAACAGTTCCTGACCACCTTGCTGGGAACGGCACAACTCACACAATAAATGTAGTTTCACGTGCATCTTGGGAAGCACGTCTGTGTCAAAAACACTCACTTCAGAAATGTCCTCAACAGTTGCTGCCACTAAGGTTTTTTCCCTTTTTTTTTTTTTTTTTCCATTCAAAATACATTTATTTTCTGTGCGGGTCAGAGGTGCAAATTTAGTGAAAAACAAATATCGGGTGACTTCCCTAGAACAGTTAATTGTGCTCATGAGGAATCTGTACCTAGACCAAGAAGGAGTTGTTCAAACAGAACATGGAAACACTGAATGGTTTAAAATTTAAAAAGGTGTGCAACAGGTTGTATTCTTTCACCATACTTATTCAACCTGTATGCTGAGCAAATAATCCAAGCAGCTGGGTTCTATGAAGAAAAATGTGGCATCAGGATTGGAGGAAGACTCATTAACAACCTGCGATATGCAGATGATACAACTTTGCTTGCTGAAAGTGAAGAGGACTTAAAACATTTACTGATGAAGACCTTGGGTATGGATTGCATCTCAATGTAAAGAAAACAAAAATCCTCACCACTGGACCAATAAACAACATTCTTATCAACGGAGAAAAGATTGAAGTTGTCAAGGACTTCATACTTCTTGGATCAACTATCAACACTCACGGAAGCAGCAGTCAAGAAATCAAATGACATATTGCATTAGGCAAATCTGCTGCACAAGACGGTTTTAAAGTGTTGAAGAGCAAAGATGTCAGCTTGAGGACTAAGGTGCGCCTGACCCAAGCCACGGTATTTTCAATAACCTCATATGCATGAGAAAGCTGGACAGTAAATAAGGAAGACCATATAGAATTGATGCTTTTGAGATATGGTGTTGGAGGAGAATATTGAAAGTGCCAGGGGCTGCCAAAAGAACCAATAGATCTGTGTTGGAAGAAGTGCAGCCAGAGTGCTCCTTAGAGGCCAAGATGGCCAAACTTTGTCTCTCATACTTCAGACATACTGTCAGGAGGGATCAGTTACTGGGAAGGATATCATGTTTGGTAAGGTGGAGGGTCAGAGAAAAAGAGGAAGACCCCCAACGAGATGGATTGGCCAAGTGGCAGCATCGATGGACTCAAGCATGGCAACCGTAGTAAGGTTGGCATAGGATCGGGCAGTGTTTCATTCTGCTGTGCATAAGGTCACTATGGGTCAGTACTGATTCAATGGCACCTAAAAGCCCCATGACTAGGCTAACTAGCCTAAGTGGGCATTCTTCTGAACCTGTCCTGGCATATAGAAGATCTTCTCCTGGTGCTAGACATTAGGGATTCAATAAGGAACAAAACAAGATCTTCTCTTTTATAAAGTTTAAAATCTAGCAGTGAAAAGAGATGATAAACAAGTAAATACTGATTTTAAAATAGACTTAAAATAAAATAGGCTATTGTAATAAAGAATAATAGAGGTGGTTTGAATTAGATATCTGAACAGAAAAACTCTGAGAAGTTAACATTAATAAGAACAATAATCCTGGTTGCAAGTAATAAAATCTTCCTTCAAAGTATGTTGAGTAAGTGGTCACTAAGGTTTTGAATTATGAACTTTCTTAGTGGCCTTGTTGTTGGGCATGCTGCAGGCTGTTTATTTTCTTTATCATCTTGGAATTAAAGACCAAAGAGATGCCCTCCTTCTTGACGGATGGAAAGATGATGAGCTTTACAGGAAACATTCCTCCCTGTCATTCTTGGCAGACCTTCCAATGGATGCTCTGTAAGGGCAGGGGACTGCCATTCTAATAATGAGAGCCAGTATTTACTCAGCATGCCCATATTCATTACTTCATGTAATCCTCACATCAACCCTGTGCTGGGAGTGTTGCCCTTCCCATTCCATAACTGAGGAAACTAAAGCCCAGAGGGAATAATGGCTTGCTCCAGGCCATAATCAGTCCATCCACAGCCTCCCTGACCCCCTGTCCCAAGAATGATTGGCCGGTGTGATTTTCTCTAGCCTGGCCTGTGACCAATGGCATGAAGAAATGGGGAATGGAGACTGCCCGGAGTGACTTGGGCTTTAGTGAAATTCCTGGTTGCCTGGGGAGGACAGGGTGATCCATCCCACCCACTGACTGTGGCCCAGTCCATTCTCCTCAAGGGGTCCCCTGGCTAGCTGTCCTTTGCTGGCAGCTATCCCATTTTCCTGTCCTCTCCTGGCTCTGGGAGCTTCAGGTGTCTTTGTTGGCCCTTGCTCGGCACTGCCACCTGCCTTAGTCCTTACCCAATTATGTCACCTCCAGGTTGAAGGCTTACAAGGCTTTAGTCTACAAGGCCCTGAGTTCTGAGGGTGGGCCCAAGGAGGGGACAAGGAGGCCTTGCCAGAGGGAACCATGCCACCAAGTCTGTGCAGTTTTCCATTGGTGAGCTCAGTCATGGGGGAAGAGAGTGGAGGAGCTAGTTACAGAGTCCAGCACATAGGCTGCCTGTTACAACACTCAGCCTGCAGGAAATGAATAGTAAAGGAAAGCAAGCAGGCAAGAGGGAGAATGGGCCAGAGGAGTCTCTCAGGCATGTGTCTTCCTGTTTACCTGCCTTGCCTGCCCTCTCCTGGCCCTGAGGCCTGTAGGTGTCTGTGCTGGTCCCCATGCCAAGCTGCCACCTGCCTGAGTTCTTACTCAACTGTGGCACCTCCCGGAGGGAGACGAGCAAGGACCAACAGTGTAAGACACAAACTCACTGTCTGCATAGGGTCTCCGAGACTGTCTTTATCCCAGCAGACAGATTGCTTTCTTTCTCTGCAGGATAAGAGGGAAAGATAAATGGTTCCTCATATCCTTCACGCTCCTGTAGGTAAGTCAGGCCAGACCCTGGGGTCAAGATCAAAGTGCCATCTGAGGTGGGAGCCATAGCTTAGACTAGCTAGGGTCAGGGTCAGATAGAATCAGAAAACGGTTCTCTAGCACCTTCCCTGGGTGCTCATCTGCCCCCACCTAAAAACAGAAGACGTGGCTCTTTCAGAACCTTCCACAGAACTGGAAGCTGGTTACTCTGAATATACCATTCTCTGCCTGTCCTCCCAGCTCACCCCCAACCCAGCTCTGGTGTATAGGACGACCAGAGCCTCTTCTGGGCAGGAAGCCAGCCCAGAAAGCCCAGG